GGGAACACAAGCAGGGGGAGTGGGAGAGGGAGAAGCAGGCTTCCCGCGGAGCAGGGAGCCCGATGCGGGGCTCGATCCCAGGACCCTGGGATCATGACCTGAGCCAAAGGCAGATGCTTAATGACAGAGCCACCCAGGCGCCAACACATACATCTTTTTTAAACACTTTTTTTTGTTTGAGGACAGTTGACACACAATGTTACATTAGTTTCAGGCGTGTATCATAGTGATTCACGTTCTCTATATGTTATGCCATGGAAAATACAAATATAACTTTTGACTCTTCCCAAACTTACCTACTAATAGCCTACTGTTGACCAGAAGCCTTACTGAGAACATAAACAGTCGATTCACATATTTTGTATGTTATGTGTATTACATACTGTATTCTTACAATTAAGTAAGCTAGAAAATAAAATGCTATTGAGAAAAACGTAAGGAAGAGAAATACATTTACATTACTGTATTGTATTTGTTGGAAAAAAATCAGTGTGTATAAGTGAACCCGTGCAGTTCCAACCTGTGTTCAAGGGTCCACTATATATTCTTTTTTCTCATTTTATACAAATGATAGTATAGTCCTGAGGCGTCCATCTCTCCCTCAAGGACCTCCTGAGGAGGCCCGCCACCCTTCAGTGACTGCCATGTGGACAGTGACCATTGTACCCTGGTCCTCCCCCCCCCGACTCAACCCCCCAGCACCTTGTTAGAAATCCCAGACCTCAGGGGAAAGAGTGCCAGTGACCCTGGGAAAGAAGCTAGGGCTGCACCAGACCCCATGCACATCGTGCCAGCACTCTTAAAAACAGTAGAGAAAACCTTGAGCTGTTCTTCATTTTGCAAATGGCAGCAGGAAAGAGTTACTCTTGCTCTTTACTGGGTCTCTTGGTTTTCGGATACCCAGGGAGTCTTAGAAAGGATGGGCAGAAGTTTTCTATGGTTGGGAGAGGTGGTGCATAAAGGCTTGGCTCCCTCCTGCTGAAGAAGGGACGGAGGTCCCTGGGTTCCCTTGGCAAGAATGTTTCTGGGCTCTTCTTTCAGGCCATTCAGCAAGGAACTATCCAGTGCAACTTTGCCGGCATCGCTTTGGGTGACTCGTGGATCTCCCCTGTTGGTAAGGACACAATCCTCAGATACTTCTTTACTCCTTTTCTCCATCCTTGCCTGGGACTTTGGGCTGTGTGGTCCAGATCAGAAAACAGGGAAACAGAATTTTCTGGGTCCTTAGAGATGTCAACACAGAAAGTGTTTACCCCAGGAGTGTCCAAGGAATTTGGGGATGAGAACTCATTTATAGAGCCCCTACCATGGACTGCTGCTGGCCAGACTGAATTCTCTTATTTGATTCTCACACCAAAAGAATCACATTTTACAGTTGAAGACTTTTTTTTTTTTTTTTAAGAGTGGGAAGGGCAGAGGGGGAAAGAGAGTCTTTCTTTTTTTTTTTTAAAGGTTTTATTTATTTATTTGACAGAGAGAGAGAGACAGCGAGAGAGGGAACACAAGCAGGGGGAGTGGGAGAGGGAGAAGCAGGCTTCCTGCAGAGCAGGGAGCCAGATGTGGGGCTTGATCCCAGGACCCTAGGATCATGACCTGAGCCGAAGGCAGATGCCTAACGACTGAGCCACTCAGGCACCCCAACAGTCTTAAGCAGGCTCCCTGCCCAACACAAGCCCAAGGCAGGGCTCGATCTCACAAGCCTGAGATCATGACCTGTGCCAAAATCAAGATTTCGACACCTAACCGACTGAGCCACCCAGGCACCCCTACAGTTGAAAACATTTTATTTTTTTTATTATTATTTTTTAAAAGATTTTATTTATTTATTTGACAGAGAGAGACACAGCGAGAGAGGGAACACAAGCAGGGGGAGTGGGAGAGGGAGAATGAAAACATTTTAAAGACCAGGGAGGTGATGGAATTTGCCCTCTGACACACAGCATGAGTGGCCTGGTCAGGATTCAAACCCCAGTCTGTTGGTTATTTGTCACCGCCACTAGAATGAGCATTTGGGATGAAATTGCCGTGTGTTACTCACCGTGGTGATGAGACAAGGTTACCATTAGGTCCTGCCGCTCAGGTTCATAGTTTCATAACCAGAGTGTCCTCTTTGGGAGTACAGATCAAAGTTGTTTGTGATGCAGACATCTGGGGTGTGGCTTCTGACATCTGAGATAGTCACGTTGGTGGGGTTAACTCTAACACAGGATTTCTAAGTCTCGGGGCTACTGACATTTTAAGCCACATAATTCTTTGTTGGGGGAGCTGTCCTGCACGTTGTAGGATGTTAGCAGCGTCTCTACCCTTTAGATGCCAGTATACCCACTCTGGTGTGGCACACAAACTCTTCCAGATGTCCCTGGTTGAGAACCACTCGAACTTAACAGAAGGTGACTTTTCACAGGCAAAACCAAACTACAGAGTAGGAAATCAGAAGAGAAGTTACCTCTGGAGGAGGGAGGGGAATGAGCCGGAAAGGGGTACCAAGGAACTTTCTAGGCTGTGTATGCTCTGTATCTTCATTGGGCTGGTCGTTACATGGGTATATGCATTCATCAAAATGTCTCAATTTGCCTGTATGATTTCTGATGGATGATGATGCCTCCGTTTTTAAAAATAGTAATTTATATAAAGTAATATTTTTCCCCTAAAAGATAGGGATTCAGTTTGGTACAGAGCCATGTCCCTAATGGATTTGGGATATTCTGATGCTACTGGGAATGGTATTTCTTGCCCTTATTCTTGGCATCACCCGGGGCTGAAATGGCATAAGTGGGAGCTCTTGAGTTAGCACTGGGAGAAAGGCTCCTCTTTGTTTTTCCTTCCTGGATGGACCTCCCAGGACATCATGAAGCTTCAGAAGCCTCGATCAGAGGCGTGAGTCCCCCTGGCTCATTCAAAATCACAGCCATGGGCCTCATGCTGCCTTCTGGGGTCTCATCACAGTTTCCTAACAGCACTCAACACTTTGCATATGTTACCTTCATTTAATGCTTACAACAGCTCCATGGGATGGCTGCTATCATCATCACAGTTTTGGAGATGATGAAACTGAGACTCAGAGAGGTTAAGCAATTTTCCTAAAGTCAACACAGCTAGAGTCAGCATTCATCTCCAGGAAGCAGGCTCCATAATCTCTGCGCTCACCCAGTACACCTCACTGCCTGCGCAAGACACAAGGCTTCGCAAGTGCTGTTCATCTGTCTGTAAAATCTACCTTTCTTCACCTTACTGTGACCAACTTCCCCTTAGAAATCCTCCTACCCAGGAGTGCCTGGGTGGCTTAGTCAGTTGAGTGTCCGACTCTTGATTGCAGCTCTGGTCATGATCTCAGGGTCGTGAGATCGAGCCCCATGTTGGGCTCCACGCTGGGTGTGGAGCCTGCTTACGATTCTCTTTCTCCCTCTCCTTCTGCCCCTCCCTCCCCACCCCCAACCCCCACTTCCTGTTTGCACATGTGCACTCTCTCTCAATTAAAAAAAAGAAAAAAGAAAAAAAGAAATCTTCTGCCCAGATCTGAATCCCTCCTTTCAGAACCACTTAAGTTCTACCCCTTCACCCCAGGAATACTCCTTTTTTGAGAGAGAGATACTGTTAATTTATATGAACAATTATTATTTGCTAGGTAGTAGGCATTGTGCTAGGGGCTAGGAAAGATGCACAGGCATGCTCCGTGTCTTCAGGAAGATCTGCACAGTTCAAGATGGTAGCCATAGCCGTATGCCACTAAATTTAAATTAATTAAAATACAATAAAGATTTAACTCTTTCAATTGCACTATCCACATTTCAAGTACCCAGTAACCACATGTGATTATTGACTTGTTCTGGACCCCATAGATAGAGAATATTTCCATCATTACAGAAAGTTCTGTTGCACACCGGAGGTTGGCAAACTACAACCTACAAGTTGAGTCTGTCCTGCCACCCTCCTTTTTTTTTTTTTAAGATTTTATTTATTTGACAGAGAGAGAGACACAGTGAGAGAGGGAACAGAAGCAGGGGGAGTGGGAGAGGGAGAAGCAGGCTTCTCGCAGAGCAGGGAGCCCGATGCGGGGCTCGATCCCAGGACCCTGGGATCATGACCTGAGCCGAAGGCAGACGCTTAACGACTGAGCCACCCAGGCGCCCCATCTGCCACCCTCCTTTGGTAGAGAAGTTTTTTTACTGGGACACAGTCATGCCCATTCATTTACATGTTGTCTGTGGCTGCCTGGAGGCTGCCACAACAGAGTCGAGTAGTTGCAACAGAGGCCGCCTGGCCTGCAAAGCGAAAAATGTTTACTGTTTGTTCCTTTATAGAAAAGTTTTGTCCCTCCCTGGTCTAGATCAAGCAGGGAATGGGGTGCATTGGAGAATTGCAGACGATTCTCTATTTCAAGAAACTAAGGCACAAGCTTGATAGTTAAGTTGGAGAGGTGAACGATAGCAAGGTTCCGGAGGACCTGGTATGCCTGCATGTCTCCGAGCGTACCCTGATGAATACCACACCAAAACAGGTGCTGTACAAAGGGCTTCGTAGTTAAATAAGTTGCCAGGGCTAAATACTGGTGCCACCTCCTCAAGCTTTCACAGGCATGTTAAAGGCTCTGGGAAGTCCTGCAGGGGGGGAGAAATATTCTGTTTTGCATAGCCTCAAAGATATTTAACTGAAGAATCATTTTTTCTTCTCTAATACCTAGGCTTACCTCCTGCAGTACTGAGGTTACTTGAAACACACTTTGAGATGCTTGGCCTTAGGGAACGATTGAAGGCTTTTAAGCAAAGGAGTGACATATTCAAATGTGCAAGTTGCAGTCCTTGATACTTTGTTGGCACATCTCAGTGGTCCTAGCCTTACCTAGAGTTATGGGAATTATGAATCTGTCAAACCGAGTGCAACTATTCTCTTTGAGGCAGGCATTGTTTTACTCATTTGTATCGCTCTAACTCCTTGCTGGCTTCAGACCCTTTGTAAATTTTCAGTATGTTTGTGGAATAGAAAAGAATTGGTTGAGGGGCACCTGGGTGGCTCAGTCGTTAAGCGTCTGCCTTCAGCTCAGGTCATGAGCCCAGGGTCCTGGGATCGAGCCCCCGACTTGGCAGGAAGCCTGCTTCTCCCTCTCCCACTCCCCCTGCTTGTGTTCCCTTTTCTGCTGTGTCTCTCTCTGTCAAATAAATAAAGTCTTTAAAAAAAAAAAAGAATCGGTTGACAGTATAGTCATAGGCACTTGAATTACAAAATCCTTAGTCTCCTTCCTTAATTAGCTCCTTGGCAGAAGCAAGTGTCCCCAAACTGGAGGAGCAAATACAGAGCAGAAATGTGAGGGCAGGGGAAATATTCTAAGCTGTCAAAAAGCCTAGAGGTCTAACAGGAATTTTCACTGTGTGCACACGTGCGCGCACACACACACACACACACACACGCACACACTCGCTGCTCCAGTATCAGGCCAAATTAACGTGTCATTAGCCCTGAGTCAACAGAAAGGCCCCCACATCATCCCACCTCCTGGCCACTGAGCCGTCAGCCCTGCAGGGACATCAGTGAGGGGAGGAGCCTATAGACCTGAAGCCACCGGCTTTCTTGCTTCTGTCTCCGCTTTGGGAGGGAAGCTAGTTTGGTTTTTCTTTGGGAGGACAGAGCCACTGCGGACTTATTTTGTACACCTGTGGTTTCCTTTAGATTCGGTGCTCTCCTGGGGACCTTTCCTGTACAGCATGGTGAGTAGATGAGTTCCCACCTCTGCACCCTCCGTGGTAAGCCGCGCAGCTGATCTCTCCTGGCTCTGTGCCCAGGACAAACAGGCTAGCTGGGTTTGCCTAGGAGGTTGACACTGCTCCCTGTGGGCAAATTTAATGAACCGTCAGCCCAGTTCCCCATTGCTCTGGGTATAAGAAACACAATGTTTAAAGTCTCCCCAACTTTTTATGATAAAAATTTTCACCTGTGCAGAAAAGTTGAAAGATCCCTGTGAACACCCATATACCCACCATCTGGCCTCCGCTCACGTTTTGCTGTATTTCTTTCACCAGTGACAACGTGACTGACCGTACACTTTCACCTATAGGTCTTTACCCCCCCACTCTCTCTCACCCGTCCCCGGCTGTGGTGATGCCAGATCTGTGTCTCTGAGCAATGTGGAGCTTTTCGTTCTTGGTTTGCATTCCAGTCGCTTCTCGACGACCAAGGCCTGGCAGAGGTGTCTCAGGTTGCAGAGGATGTCCTGGATGCTGTGAATAAGGGGCTCTACAAAGAGGCCACCCAGCTGTGGGGGAAAGCAGAAATGGTCATTGAACAGGTAATGAGACACGCGCGGGGGCAGCCCGCTTGCCGTGTTCCCGTGGAGCCAGGGTCCCCTGGTTGGTGCTGTCAGGACTTGGGTCTCTCCTGAGACTCCCCTCAGATCTGAAAATGATCACGTGCTAAATGATAAAGCCGACGAGTCTGAGCAGTGACAAGCTCAGAAAGCCGGCCCAGGCCTGCAAGACCCACTTGTCCCTTGACCAAATGTATGGACACTATAAGAAACAATATGTCTTGCAGAAGGAAATGTTTGAATCCTCACCAGGCAACATGTCCCCAGTGAGCCAGGAGGGAAGAATGCACAGTCGAGGACGAGTGTGCAGGACCCTGCTTAGCCCTCTTCTCCCTGTAAATTAACACGTGGGCCCTTGGTTTTCTCCAGCATCTGAGATCCACTTGGACGAGCTGCTCACTACCCACCCCCACCACCCGAGATCGGGCTGACAGCTGGTCTCAGAGCTGCATTTCTTTCTGGTCCAGGCACATTTACAGAGTTAAAGCTGTCCTTGGATAAGATGGAGAGCCTGTTGCCTTTCTGTTAGGCAGCTTTGATAATGGATAAATAAAACAAACAGCCAAATATCATTCTGTATTTCAGAACACGGATGGGGTGAACTTCTATAACATCTTAACTAAAAGCACTCCCACATCTGCAGTGAAGTCGAGCCTAGAATTCACCCAGAGCCCCCTAGGTAAGTGAACCTTGACATTGCTAGACCCCGTCTCTGTCTCCATGCAAGAGGGAATCAGTTCTTTTAGCTTTATTGACATAATTTACATACCACAAAACTCACCCATTTTAAGTGTATGATTCAGTGGTTTTAGTGCATTCACAAAGCTGCACAGCCATTACCACAATCCAGCTCTAGAAATTTCCACCATGCCAGAAAGATCCCGTGTCCCCTGGCAGTCAGTTTCCGTTCCCACGCCCAGCCCCAGGCAGTCACTAATCTGTGTTTCTAGATACGGACGTTTCATATAAATGGAACCCTGCAGCAGGTGGTCTTTTGCATCTGGCTTCTTTCGCTTACCGTAGTGTTTTTGAAGTTTGGAAACCAACTTCTGCACATTACACGTTACAGTCCTTCTGAAGGCTGGATTGAGCTGTCTTTCAGCTGACCCAGCTTCACCGTGGATGCTGAATGCCTGGCGTCCTCCCTCCGTAGGAGGCCTGTAAAGGCTTCAGGAGCCTCTAGATTCCACTTCTCAGCTGATTTCCTTTGGCCTTGCTGGATAATCTCAATGGCCCCAAAGTACATGAAGTGCAGCAATCAAAATTAATAAAGCATCTCCACTTTCAATGTCTTTCTGGCTTTCTTCCTCCATCTGGGGTGAACGAAGGTGACGCTTTTCGTTTTCCAGCTGAAAACCTCCCTCTTAGACACTATCTTTCCCGACCGCTTGGGAAAGGTGTGCTCTTGGTCGTATTTCCAGTCCTTTGACTCACCGGGTGCCAGTTTGTTTCAGTTCACCTTTACCAGCGCCACGTGAGACACCTACAGCAGGATACCTTAAGTCAGCTCATGAACGGTCCCATCAGAAAGAAGCTCAAAATTATTCCTGAGGATTGCTCCTGGGGAGGTACTTCTGTGACCTAATTAAGGGCCATTTGTGGGGTTGCAGGGCAGTAGAGGGGCCAGTTCAAAGGCTTAAGTTTGAAGAATGATGGGTTTTGGCGGTGGTGATGATAGGTTGCTGGTAGGACAGCATTACTGGCCACATTTTATAGATGAGCAAACATAATGTGCCCAAATTGGTTCAGAATAAGAGGTTGGTAGGGAAGTGGGTGGGGAGGGAAATGAAATGATGGGTTAGGTGTTGATAAATCTTGTTGCAACCAGGTTATGGGCACCTGGGAATCCTCTTACTCTTCTGACTTGTTATCAGTTTGAGGTTTTCCATAATAAAAAAAAAAAATCAAGATTAAAAAAAGTCATGCCCAAAGCCACAGTTGGTTATGGGTGTGACTTCCAGACCAAGGTCCTTTGGGGCAGGTTTTGACCAGCTCCCCAGCCCGGCTCCCCCCCAATCCTGATGCTGGATGTAGTTCCAGGGTCTACTGTGTTCTGGGGACCATATTAGGAATTGTGGGGGGCAAGGGGCACTGCCCAGTGTCGTCCCCTTACCCATGGTTTGGAAGACCATGACTGATAGAGAAAGCTCCGTGGCCCCAGCTGTGTCTGGTCCGGAAAGGACAAACTTGCCGGCCGATACCCAGGGCTTGAGCTCCAGCGTGCAGTTAAGCCTCCGCACGTGGAGCCCGCCGGTCCGTGCTCACACCCCGCCTGCCACTGACTGGCTCGTTCACCCTGGCCATGTATCTCAGCCTCTCGGAGCCTCATTCACTTTAACCTAACTGCACACGTTAGGACTCTGTACCTCCCAGTTTACTAGAGGGAGAAACCACCTTAACTTGACAATGGCAAGGCCTCCAGTATCTTGTAGGTCCTCTTTAGTGTACAAAAGTTCTTTTGGAAACCTCCCTTTTTCCTTACCCCCAACTCCAGAGCATATAGAGGGAGTATATATCCTTGATGACGAGGAAATGCGATCTTGTTTGTAAAGTGCTTGCGGACAGAAATGAATAGTAGCTACTGTTTTTTTGTTTGTTTTTAAGATTTTATTTATTTATTTGCTAGAGAGAGCATGGGTGAGAAAGAAAGAGTGAGCGAGAGTACAAGCAGGGGGAGCTGCAGGGAGAGGGGGAAGCAGGCTCTCCACCGAGCAGGGAGCCCGATGCAGGACTCGATCCCAGGACCCTGGGATCATGACCTGAGCTGAAGGCAGCCGCTTAACCAACTGAGCCACCCAGGCGTCCCTAGTAGCTACTGTTATTGTGGGGTTCAGTGTCACGGTGATGACAGTCAGGAATCCGCCAGGGGTGCGGTGCCGACCATCTTCTCTTGCCTGGGGCTTATCGGGCTCATCCTCCCCGTGGCTTTCCTGAGGGCTAGCTCTGCACCAGTTTAGGTCTGCTTTGGTTTATTACTAGGGTAGCCCCACTTGTGGCCCTGGTGTTACTTAGCAAAGGAGGAAAACTAACACCTGCCCCAATGCAGAGATTGTTCCCTGAGAGGACCGGCCTAACGAGTATTTTGTGAGGCTCCCTGTTTGCTTGGCCATTAGCCTTCAGGAGACTGGCTCCAGGCCTGGATTTCTGGGTGGTCGGTACCTGCTGGTGAAGCACAGTGGTTACTTTGGGTGCCAGAGCCCAGGAGGCTCTGGTCTGAAAGGTGCCCCGTGTTATGGCAGATTGAAGGCTCTTACCTCTTTCTCTTTCCTCACGTGCAGGCCAGTCTGCCAGTGTCTTCCAGAACATGGAGGGGGACTTCATGAAGCCGGTCATCAGCATTGTGGATGAGCTGCTGGAAGCAGGGGTCAATGTGACCATTTATAACGGACAACTCGATCTCATCGTGGACACCATAGGTAAGGAACACGCTCCGAGGGGCGCGTGGAGGCAGTTCCGTGGGGTGAGCTGGAAGGGAACTGGCCCTGGCCAGACATGCCAGTCTTGGGGCTGTGGACATTGAAATGCCTGGAGGAAGGCCATTTCCTGTTACGTTCATCTGCCCCGACCTTGACCTCTTTGAAGAGGACGGAGCTTTTGAGGCAGTTGTTGAATGTAGGTGAGGTTGGATGGGGTGAGGTCCGGAGCTGACGGCCAAGAAAGAATTCTTTTTTGTTTTTTGTTTTTTTCAAGAAAGAATTCTTGAGATGTCTTTGGTGCAAAAAGGGGTTTTATGAAAGCACAGGGACAGGCCCTGTGGGCAGAAAGAGCTGCTGCTTCAGGGTTGTGAGGGGTGACTGATTATATACGCTGGAGTTGGGGGTAAGGAAAAAGGGAGGTTTTCAAAAGAACTTTTGTATGCTAAAGAGGACCTACAACATACTGGAGGCCTTGCCATTGTCAAGTTAAGGTGGTTTCTCCCTCTAGTAAAGCAATAATTTTAAAACAGTTGGGAGTTTCCTTCTGCAAGTTAGGTGATTGATAAGAATGCTTTTTTTCTTGTAAATCATGAAGACATTTGTAAACTGAGGGAGGCGCTGGTCTTGCTAGACTGTGATCTCTGTTAGTTAAACATTTGTTTTTCCTTCCCTTAGCTTTAGGGCAGCGGGGAGTACCTGAGGAATGTCACACAGATCCCACCTGGGGGTAGGGGGCCAGTTTGCAGGGTGTCAGCTTGTGCTTGCCCTCAGCTAGCCTTCTGCGCCCTCACCACGGTGACCCCTTAGAGAAGCCTGGGCCTGCCAGATTTTGAGTCCCTTACGTATGATTAAGAAATGCACAACACCTACTCCCACCACAAATAGAAAAGGAGACCTTTTCCTGGCCATGGGGTCAATGCACTGTTGAGTTGAGTTTTTGTCACTGTCCCAGTAGGTGGTAAGCTCTGCAAGCTGAATAGAAACTAAACCCTGCAGATTCTAAACGTGAGGACCCAGGGGAAATGGCCTTTGGGGTTCTGTTTCAGTAAGACTAGGTAAAGACTGAGAGGCAGGTTCTCAGAACCAGCAGGTAAATCGAGGCACACAGTCTGACAGGTATGATGCACCTCTTGAGGTCACCGGGATTGAATATTTCCGCCACTTGTAAGCCAAGGGCACTAAGGCCACTTTGAAATGGTTCTGTGTTTCTTCCATGACCTGCCCAGTGATCCATGTTAGCACCTTCCGACCCTGAGACCTCTCAGTCCTCCGGAGAGTCCTGCCACCTCCAGAGGTCCCCACTTGCCTTGCTTCAGCGCGAACGGCGGTGGGAAAGGCAGAGGCAAAGCAGTCAAGCTTCTCAGTGTTTAGGTTTCTCCCAGGTATCTTTGGGCATCACTGGGAGTTTGCTGCAAAGGCAGTCTCAGGCCCCACCCAGACCTACCGACTCTGAATTTGCATTTTAACCAGATCTCGGGATGGGTTCTATGTGCATCACAGTTTGGGAACGGGCGCGAAGTGATGGGATCTAGATTTTTGTTTCTACCCCACCCAGCTATTGATGCCAGGCCCTGCTCTTTCCCTCTCGCCAGGTCAGGAGGCCTGGGTGCGGAAACTGAAGTGGGCAGAGCTGCCCAAATTCAATCAGCTGAAGTGGAAGGCCTTGTACAGTGACCCGAAGTCTTCAGAAACGTCTGCTTTCGTCAAGTCCTACAAGAACCTGGCTTTCTACTGGATCCTCAGAGCCGGGCACATGGTGAGGCCGCGTCCCTCAGCCTTTGTGGCAGGCTCTCAGCTGCTCTGAGGGTGAAGCCATGGGCAGTTGATCATGCGCTGAGTGCACTGCCCGGACTGGCCTTAGAAGAAGTGATTTGTTTTAGGGAGTGTTTCCAGTTCTCTAATGAAATCCTGCTATTAGTGCTTCAGTCCTTTGAATCTAGAGATCCTCATTTAAAACTAAATCCTTCTGAGAGCATTAAGCTGGGCTCTATCTTTTACTCTTTAGCTTAAATGAGTTTAATGTTACTTTCCTCTTAATCATTTGTCTTGGGGGAAGAAGGGAGAAATTGTCTTTCCCTAACATTTTTGGGGAGCGAAAACCAAAGTTAGCGCTCTGGAAAGCTGAGTCGCAGTGCTTGGTACAAGGTAGGGGGAGTGTTCGAGCAGCAGTAGCTTCCAGATTTCCAGTTTGGAAGAGGCTTTGTGTGCAAAGATGAGGTTGTCTCACTCCTGCACTTGATAAGCGAACACACTGTCTCCCCTTAGGTCGTAGGTTGACTGAGTGGCTATCCATGGGCTAAGAGAGATTCTGGAGGGATAAATCCACTGTAAACACACACGTGTGTGCACATACGCACGCAGACACCTGCAAAGGCGCCCAAGGGGTTGGGTGCTTCCCTCACGGTTAGGCTTTGGTCTGGCCACTTACATGCAGGTTCTCTCTTCTTCCCAGGACAGTGCTTTCCTGGAGGAGATTCACTGGGAGGGGTGGTAAGGTGCCCTGTGGGCGGCTCTCTCCACTTGGTCCCCTGGTGCTTAGGACAGAATCTCCATAGAGAAGGGGCTGAGGGGTGGTGGTCTGGCTAGAAAACTGGTCTTTAAGCTCCGTTTGTACATCAAGCACATATAGCGTGTTTACTTGGATGGCCGAGGAGATGCTAAGAGAGATTTCAGCAGGAACTAAAGTGCCCTCTCCAGAAACCACTCCTTAGGGGCATTATCTAGGCAAGGAGGAGGTGTAGGAGCAAGAAAAACAGCATTGGCAGGTCCAACGGAGCCTCAGGAGGGGCCCTGGGGAGAGATGAGGCCGGGGACGCCTTGTTAGGGAGCTCACACGTATCCCGAAAGCAACGGCGTGCCATTGAGGGTCTTACAGCAAAGGAGTGAAATTGCCAGATTTGTCTAAGAAATGGCATTCTAGTAACAAAGGTTTGGTCTGCTTCCCCAACTGATGGGGCGCCCCCCCCAGGGGATGAGACCAGGGCAAATAGCCGATTTAAAGCGCTTTTTTTTTTTTTTTAAGATTTTTTTAATTTATTTGACAGAGAGAGCACAAGCAGGGGGAGCGGCAGCAGAGGGAGAGGGAGAAGCAGGCTTCCCGCTGAGCAGGGGAGCCCGATTCGGGGCTCGATCCCAGGACCCTGGGATCATGACCTGAGAGGAAGGCAGACGCTCAGCTGACTGAGCCACCCAGGCACCCCTCTAAGATGCTCTTATAGTAATCGAGGAGGGAGAGAAGTAGAGGAATTTGATAGTGTCAGAAGGGAGAACTGGCCGGACTTGATACCTGTTCGCCAGTAGAACCGCCGTGTAGGATGCTCATAAGGCAACTGAATATATACACTGTGTATATATGGTCCAGAGTCAAATTTTTGCTCTTGGAGAGATTTGGGAGTCGAATGTGAAAAAGGCCAGGGACAGACCTGTATTTAAGAGGCAGGAAGTGAAAGAAGGACCTACAAATGAGACTTGAGAGAGGGCAGCCAGAAAAGGAGGAGGGAGACCAGGGACGTGGGTATCCACAAAGTCGCCAGGGGCCGGTGGTGTCGCAAGCTGCCACCATCTCAGATAAAGGAGCGAAGTGCCAGCAGTGATTCGGGCACAGTGGTATCCGTAGTGCTCGTGGCAAGCGCTTTTGGTGCAGTGGCAGGCCTGGAAGCCAGCACGGAAAGGGTGCAGTAGATGAATGGGCAGTGAGGGAGGGAAGACAATTTCCTCTCAGGAACCGGAAGGAGGAGGAATCTGCCCTTTTAAGAAACTTCATCTGAAGAGAGCATGAACAAGGCAGCAGGACCCAGGGTTAGGAGGGCATTTTGTTAGGGCTTGCTTTTTTTTTTTTTTTAAGATTTTATTTATTTATTGAAGACAGAGGCAGAGGGAGAGACAGAGAGAGAGCGTGTGTGCACGCATGAGCAGGAGGAGGAGGAGGAGCAGAAGCAGACTCCCCGTGGAGCAGGGAGCCTGATGCGGGGCTTGATCCCAGGGCCCTGGGATCATGACCTGAGCTGAAGGCAGACGCTTAACGACTGAGCCACCCAGGCAACTCCCTGTTGGGGCTTTAAGTATTCTGAATACCCTCAGTATCAACTAGGGAGGAAGCTAGTAGGAAATCTTAGGGCACAGTGCTGTGAGAAGGGTCCCCGCAGGGGCAGGTGGGAGGGGAGGGGGGAAGGGGAGGGGAAGGAGAGCACATGCTCTTGCTCATATGCTGGAGTTCAGGCCCGTTTCCTCTGGCTTGTCACGGAGAGAACCGAGACATCAGTTGGGGCAGCCTTGAAATAGCTCCTGGAAACTGGTATTAAATTATCCCCAACCACCTCCCCTTTAGTTGATGAAATGTCTTTTTGGTATACTCCACTGTGCCTGTGCCTCCAGGGGACCTTGCTGGGCAAGAGGACGGGGGACAGCAGTGTGCCATAGAGAATCAAGGACCCATGGGCTTTCAGAATTTGGGGCCGTCAGCTGGATGCCCATCTTTATGGAGGAGAAACTGAGGCCTCTGTCCTTCCCCTTTCCGATGGTGTGTGGGAAGGGGGTTTATAAAGGAATTACTTGAAAAATCTAAGGGATGGGGTGCTTGGCTGGCTCAGGCAGTAGGGCGTGTGACTCTTGATCTCAGGGTCATGAGTTCAAGCCCCGCGTTGGATGTGGAACCTATTTGAAAAATTTAAAGGAAAAACAAAAGAAAATTGAATAATAATAATACCAAAATGGGGTGCCACCCAAACAAAGCATCTTGTTCGTTTGTTGTATCTGTTGACAGATTTGCTATTAGCTTCCCTCTATTTTGTACTCCATTCCCAGAGAATCCTTTAAAATGTTTAGAATCTCCCCTCTTCCTTGAACAGGCTAGGTCCTGGTAATGTAAGCACAGGTCTTCTAAGGCAATCAACAGGGACGCCTGGGGGGCTCAGTCAGTTGAGTGTCCGACTCTTGATTTTGGCTCAGGTCATGATCTCAGGGTCATGGGACCAAGCCTTGGGTCGGGCTCTGCCCTCAGTGGGGAGTCTGCTTGGGATTCTCTCTCTCCCTCCCCCCCTACTCGTGCTCTCTCTCTCTCTCTCTCTAAAAATCAATCGATCAATCAATCAACAGATCAGCCCCAAATGGAATGGTAGGTTCTTTCCTAAATGCTGACTACTTTAGACCCCTGCAACCTGACAAGCTTCTGTCCCGTGCAGGGGTCATTTCTCAGATGGGACCCTCCCGTAAGGGGTGCATTCAGGGGCAGATGTCCTCCTAGGCCGTGTCGTGGAGCCAGCACTCCTCCTGGGAGCAGGGTCTCAGGATGTCGCCCCTGAACCCAAAACGTGGAGTGTGGACTCGGATACTGTTTGGTTCTAGGTTCCTTCTGACCAAGGGGACATGGCTCTGAAGATGATGAGAATGGTGACTCAGCAGGAGTAGCACGGCCTGGCGGTGACTTGCTGGGCCCTAGGGCTTGGGGTGAGGACCTGGGAAGCACCGGGCTCCCGCGAACCCAGCTGCCTGTACCCGTGAAGGTTCCTGCCCGTGTGTCCAGAGAACAGACTCGCTGCCTCCGTGGCAACTTGGAAATCATCTCTGCTTCTGAAAAACCCCCATTTTTTTTTCAACGGATTTGTTTTAATCAAAATGAAGAACTGAAATAGGTTGACATTTTGGTATGACAAAAGTAAAGGATGTGATGTATGGGGAGAAAAAGAAATACAGGTCAACAAAGTAAACACCCTTTTCCTCCCTTCCCTGGGACAAGCTGTTATCAGTTTAGTGTCCATCCTTGCAAGCCTTTTTTTTTTGCTATATATGCCTATATATTTTTTACAAAAATGGAATCATTACTGTATGTTGTTTGACTACCTGGCTCACATATCAGTTTGCCCTAAACACCTCTTCATGTCAATAAATGTTCTCCTGTAACATTTTTAATAGCTGCTGAGCATTCCATTTTGTGGATGTACCACAATGCGCAACTGTTTCATGTGAGCAATGTCTAGTGTGTCTGCTGTAGAAGGTGCTCTGGTTATTCATCCTGACAGTTCTATTTTATACACATCCTTCTTATTTTCTTACAGCAAATTCCTAAAGGCATAATGGTTTAGTCAAAGAATGACAGCTTCTCTTTAAAAATTGAAATGATGTCTTTAATTTAAAAATCAGGACTTCTAAGTTTTCATTTGCAGCCCACGGTCTGCAGAAGGGATGTCATAATTTCTATGATGCCCCTGAAAGAAACACTGTGTCTTGTGGTTGTGGGGCTCAGTTATTAAAAACCAAGCCCAGGTCTTCCCGTGGAACGTGAGGAGAGTGGGTTTTTTTGGTTTGTTTATTTGTTTTTTGAGGAGAGTGTTAATAGTGGGTTATGCATCTGAAACTAATAATGTGCTATATGTTGGCTAATCGAATTTAAATTTAAAAAAAGATAGTGGGTTATGTCTACATGACCATCCCCCTCGGATCTGAGACTAAAGCAGGCTTCTTGGGCAGAGGCACCCTGCACTTACCTGTGGTTCGCTATTGGGGAGAAAGCATTCCTGTGTGCCCCTGGATATGGAAAAACATGACAGGCTTATGCTGGATCCCGCTGGACCCCCCACCAGTGCATATTGTTCTCCTGTTGCTTCTGCGGGGTGTCCTTTGCTGGAAGAAAATTTAGCCACGAGTATGACTCCTTACCAGGTCTTGTGAGTCCTTCTGGCATTGAACTACAACACATTTGAATTCCCAACCTCACAGCGTTTCTTTCATTAGAAGTTAGGGTGTTAGGGGGCACCTGGCTGGCTCAGTTGGTAGAGTATGTGACTCTGGATCTTACGGTCTGAGTTTAAGCCCCATGCTGGGTGTAGAGCCCAATTTAAAAAAAAAGGAAGTTAGGGTACTAGTTGGGAAGGAATCTGAGTTTGAACATTAGGATGGCCACATGGGCAGATTCCAGTGAATTCCAGATTCCTCAAATGTTTTTTGCCACTAGAAGCAGCCCTTCCATCCCTGCCCAAGGAAGTCAATCTCCTCCTGTCCTAAGATCCTGTCACCAATTCCAAGATGCCCAAAGCCCTCTTCCTCCTACATTACATTCACTCTCAATCCACACCCAGGCCTTCATGGGACGTTCCCTGTGATCAGTTCACGTGGGGATGAAGTCTGGGGCTTAGTTTACCAATAGTTCTGCACGGTGGGCATGCATCAGCTGAGAGTGGACAGAGTGGAAATCCTCCCGGGGGACAGAACTTGGGACAAGGTACCTATTTGTTCATTTTGCCTGGAAGGAGAGATGGTCAGAAGAAAGGGTCCATACCAAATCATCATTTGGCTGGGTAGTTGGACTTGGAAAGAACACAAGTGAAAAATCCAAAGGCCTGAGGAAGAGGTATGAGGTTAGGCCTTTGAATGGCAGAATATGAAGCTACCTTGTGTTCCACGTGAATGCTCACCAAAGGGTAGAGGAAGATTTTACTAATCAAATGGATAGAACGACCCATTCTGTAGACATCGGCCAGCCTCCTTCCCCAGCAACTCCTGGGGCCTCAATGCCAACCGAAGTAGCCATATTGACAGCAATGGAGGTTATACATTTGCTCTTGGACATGGACTTGTGCTCACCAAGAGTGACCTGGCCACAGCTGCTGCTGAGTACCTAATCTGCCAGCACAAGAGACAACACTGAGCCCCTGATATGGTGTCATCGCCCGAAGGGATCAGCCAGCTACCTGGTGTTAGGTTGATTACATTGGACCACTTTCATTATGAAAAAGGCAGCAAGTTGTTCTTATTGGAATTGACACTTGCTCTGGACATAGATTTGCCTTCCCTGCCCACAGTGCTTCTGCCAAAACTGCCATCTGTGGCCTTAGAGAATGTGTCATCTGCCATCATGGTATTCACAGCACACGGAATGCAGAAGTGGGTTCATGCTCTTGGCATTCACTGGTCTTACCATGTTCCCCCATCAACTTGAAGCAACTGCCCTGACACATGGTTGAATGAGTTTTTGAAGATTAGGTTACAGTACCAGCTAGGTGGCGATACCTTGCAGGGCTGAGGCGATATCCTTCAGCATGTGGTATATGATCTAAATCAGCATTGTGCTTCTCCCACACCCTGGATCCAGGAGCCCAGGAATCAAGGCATAAAAATGAAAGTCACTCCTCTCCGTATCAGCCCTGTTGATCCAACAGTGAAATTTTTGCTTCCCATTCCTGCAACTTTAGCCTCTGCGAGTCTAGAAGTCTTAGTTACAAAGGGAAAAATGCTTTCACCAGGAGACACAGCAAAGATGGTCTTGAAATGGAGCTTGAGGCTGCCATCTGGAGTGTTTGGGCACTGAATAAACAGGCAAAAGTACTGGCTGGGGTGATCCTGACTATCAAAGGGAATTTGGGTTGTTACTACATAGCGGGGATAAGTCAAGAGAATGCCAGAGATCCTTTGTGGTACCTTATAGTACTCGCATAGCCTCTGATTAAAGTCAAAGGAAAACGATAATAACCCAATTTATACTGGTAATGGCCCACACCCTCCACAAAGGTTTGGGTCATTCCACCAGGCGAGGAACTATGACCAAGGTGCTTGCTGAGGACAAAAGAAATAAGTAGTGAATGATGGTAGTTATAAATACTAGCTATGACCTCATGACCTGTTGCAGAACAAAGACTGTAATAGTTACGAGTATTTCTTCCTTATTGTGATTCGAATATATTTTAATAAATATTAGCCAAATTTTTTAAATCTCTTCTCTCAACGCTTTATCTTCTAATTTAAGATGTGCTCATAATAAATAACTTTATGTGTAAGTATTTAAGTTATAAGAGGAGTATGAACCAGCTCGGAAAAGAATGCACATTCTCCAAAGACAAACAAGGGTCTCTGGGGAGGTCAGTGTGGTTTTGGCCGTACGGGGGCTTTTGTATCGTGTTGCGCAGAAGCGTGATTTTGTTACTGTCTTTATTTGGAGAGTGAGTCTGGTTTAGGGCAATCTGTACAGGTGCCAAGTTGAAAAGGGATGGACGGTGAGGTCTTTGTAATGTTTCCACTTGCCTAGGCCAAATTATATTTTCCAGAATTACCTTTCCTGTATGTTTCTGATTAGAACGGCCCATAAGACTAGAGATTCTCATGGAGATTTGGAGGATGGAAATGAGACAGCGGCCAATTTTAGCTCAAACACGCTGTCATCTATCTGCCTGCTCAGCCCATTAGCAGCCAGGCCTGCCACCGCTCCACCTTCCCTTGGATCCTCCTGGAGCATCTCTGCCTCTTGGGCCAGGTGAGTGTGCTTAGCTCTGTGATGAGGACCCAGCTAGCATGAGTTTCTGTCCCGTGGGCTGTCCTCATGGACTCTAGCTCACGGGATTCAGACTGCTCTTCTTTCTCTACTTTATCTCTACTGTCCCTTTCTGACTTCCGGCCCTCTGTCCCTCAATCCCCAGCATCACATTTTGAAGGCACCAGCCTGAGGAGGACTGCCCACCCAGCTCCTACACTGCATGAGTCCAATCCCTACACACGCGTATGCGCACACATGCACGTGCATGCACAGAGTTCCACTTCTCTGATTGAATCCTGACTGATACCATAAATTAGATTCAGTTATTCTTTAATGGATGCAGAGTTCCCCACAACCGGAATCTGCATGTATGACAATGCCTTTCTGTTCTATACATTGAGCAGCAACTTAATCAGATGCAGAGCCCTGGGTCACATCTCGCCTTCACTGTGGGCATCAACTGTTGCCGAGAAATTTGAAACCAACTTGACTTTGAGTTTTTTGTTTGTTTGTTTTACTTTTATAAACACTTAATTTTGATACCTTGATGCTGTACACTTCTTTGTTTAATCTTATAGATTGGTAACTTCAGGTGGTACATTGATGTTTGTAGTTTTTTTTTTTTAAGATTTTATTTATTTATTCGACAGAGAGAGAGAGTGACAGCTAGAGAAGGGAACACAAGCAGGGGGTAGCGGGAGAGTTAGAAGCAGGCTCCTGGCTGAGCAGGGAGCCCAATGCAGGGCTCCATCCCAGGACCCTGGGATCATGACCTGAGCTGAAGGCAGACGCTTAACAACTGAGCCACCCAGGTGCCCCGATGTTTCTAGTTTTTAATTAATTTTGCTTGATATTTAGTGAGCTTTTTGTGGTTTTCTTTAGTGAGTTGTTTTTTGTTTTGTTTTGTTTTGTTTTGTTTTTGAGAGAGAGAGAGTGAAGAGGGAGGGGCAGAGGGAGAGGGAGTGAGAGAATCTCAAGCAATGTCCGTGCTGAGCACAGATCCCGACAGGGGTCACGATCTCACAACCTTGAGATCATGACCTGAGCTGAAATCAAGAGTTGTACACTTAACCAACTGAGCCACCCAGGCGCCCCCATTCAGGGTACTTTTAACCAAGACTGCCATCAGCAGGTAGTAGCTAACACTATGGTGCTAATCATTTTGCAATTTATACATGTATCAAATGTACACCTGAAATTCACACAATGTGTCAATTGTATCTCAAAAAAAGCTGGGAAAAACAAGACTACATTAGCATCACTACTTCAGTTTTTGGTAAACTCTGGTCAATTTTTTAAAAGATTTATTTATTAAGATTTTATTTGTTTGAGAGAGCCAGAGAGAGCACAAGCAGGGGGAGCAGGAGAGGGAGAGAGAGAGAGAAGCAGGCTCCCTGCTTGAGCAGGGAGCCCAACGTGGGGCTCGATCCCAGGACCTGGGGATCATGACCTGAGCCGAAGGCAGATGCTTAATCGGCTGAGCCACCCAGGTGCTCCTAAGTTTTATTTATTTAAGTTATATCTACACCCAACGTGTGGCTTGAACTCACAACCCTGAGATCAAGAGTCATACGCTCGTCCAACTGAGCCAGCCAGGTGCCCCAAATTTGGTCATTTGACATTTCTAAAGTGCTTTTATTTTCTGTAATTATGTGTCTCCTTATTT